GCTGGGTGCCCAGGTCCCCGGGCCCAGGGCCCACCTTTGACAAAGAGCTCGGTGCTGCACTTCTCCCCGCCCACCACGCACTGGTAGGCCGCGTCGTCTGCCAGCGAGCACTGGCTGATGGTCAGTGTGCGCTTGGCGCCATTGGACTCGAAGATGTACCTGGGCAGGGGCCGCGGAAGAGGGGTGAAAGCTGTGGCCTCAGCTCCTGGTGCCCCCTCACTGCCCCTCCGGCCCCCCGCCCCCGCCCCATGCCGTGACCAAGCCTCCTGGGAGCGGGGCCTTACTTGCTGTGGAACAGAAGGGGCCATAGGTGTGTCCCCGACGGGAGGAAGCGAGACCAAGAGAAAAAGCGAGGAGCAAAGATGGAAAGAAAGAGAAACATGGGAAATTAGACCCAGAGAGAGAAATGCGGAGAGAGGGACAGAGACAGAGAACACGATGGAGAGGCAGAGAGGGCAGGGCTGGGAGCAGCCCCTCCCCCCAACCAGGGTCCCCTCCCCGCACCCCCAGCCCCAGAACCTGCTCCGGCCCCTGGCGCACCTGCCGCTCATCTGGATCTCCTGTCCATTCTTCAGCCACTTGACCTCGGCGTCGGGGTCGGCCAGCTCCACGGTCAGCCGGATCTTGTGGCCCTTGTTCACCTGGTAGGCCGGCTGCAGCTTCTTCTGGAAGGCTGAGCACCACCCCTCAGCATCTGCTCCCGGCCGCCCGCCCCCACCCCAGGCTGGCCCTGGCGGGAGGCTCTCGCCCACAGCCACTGGCAGAGGGCCCAGCCTCCGGCCGCCCCTTGTCTCTCTGGTCTCCACTGTGACTGTCTGTCTCTCTCTGTTCGCCTGTCTTCCTCGGGGTCCTCTGTACCTGCTCAGCTCAGGGACATGGTCAGGGGCTTCCAGAAAGACAGAAGCTGGGGGCGCGGGGGAGCAGGTGGCGGGAGGAAGGGCCTTGTCTGCCCCGGACTCTGTGTTAACAGCAACCTCGGTGTTTGTGCTCCTGCCCAGAGGGCGGGTGAGGCCTCTGCCTTCCCAGCTCACGCTCAGGGCTGCCACCTGGCTGTCAGCCGTGCTGGGGAAGGGCCACCTGCCTGGGGTGAGGGGCTGGTTCTGCCCCTTCTGTTTCTTTTGTTCTGTTTGCCTCCTCTCCCTGCACCCCCAGCCCCAGAACCTGCTCCGGCCCCTGGCGCACCTGCCGCTCATCTGGATCTCCTGTCCATTCTTCAGCCACTTGACCTCGGCGTCGGGGTCGGCCAGCTCCACGGTCAGCCGGATCTTGTGGCCCTTGTTCACCTGGTAGGCCGGCTGCAGCTTCTTCTGGAAGGCTGAGCACCACCCCTCAGCATCTGCTCCCGGCCGCCCGCCCCCACCCCAGGCTGGCCCTGGCGGGAGGCTCTCGCCCACAGCCACTGGCAGAGGGCCCAGCCTCCGGCCGCCCCTTGTCTCTCTGGTCTCCACTGTGACTGTCTGTCTCTCTCTGTTCGCCTGTCTTCCTCGGGGTCCTCTGTACCTGCTCAGCTCAGGGACATGGTCAGGGGCTTCCAGAAAGACAGAAGCTGGGGGCGCGGGGGAGCAGGTGGCGGGAGGAAGGGCCTTGTCTGCCCCGGACTCTGTGTTAACAGCAACCTCGGTGTTTGTGCTCCTGCCCAGAGGGCGGGTGAGGCCTCTGCCTTCCCAGCTCACGCTCAGGGCTGCCACCTGGCTGTCAGCCGTGCTGGGGAAGGGCCACCTGCCTGGGGTGAGGGGCTGGTTCTGCCCCTTCTGTTTCTTTTGTTCTGTTTGCCTGAGAGGAGGAGTCACAGGCCTGTCTCTCCTCCCAGGTGGAGGTCTCTGGCCTAACCTGGCTTCTTCCCCTTTTCTTGGGCAGAGAGGGTGCAGCAGGCTTCTCTTCTTTTCCGGGGGTGGGGGGGGGGGGGTCGCCTGGAGGGCTCACCTGGGCCCTGTCCCTTGGTTTGGAGCAGAGGGCTCACCTGGGCCCTGTCCCTGGTTTGGAGCTGAGTGCTCACCTGTGCTCTTCTTCTCGTCACGCTTCATGCCCTTGAGCCTCTTGAGCATGCCCCGCAGGTCGGTGACTCCGTGCTGGAAGGCGATGCGCTCGTACTCGGACGGGGGCGCCTGCCGCAGGATCTCCCACACGTCCTCCTCGGCGGGGGCCTCCAGCTTCGAGTCCCTGTGTCCGCAGTCCACGCACAGCGGCCTCAGGGGGTGCCCATGGCCAGGGCAGGACTGCAGCCCCCTCCCCGGGGCCGGGCTTCCCGGGGCCGGGCTTCCCGGGGCCAGGACCAAGGAGCTGTAGCTGCCCCGCCCTCTGATCCTTTCCTCCTGGGGGGGGGGGGAGCTGACATGGGTCCTCAGCCAGTTCCGGGGTTCCAGGGGCTTATGGTTCAGCCTGGGGGTGGGGCCAGGGAGGGTTCCTGGGGTAACAGAGGTGACAGGGTGCTGGGGGTCACCGCGCACTCACCGTGGGGTCCGGAAGCTGCTGCTCCAGGTGGGGCAGAAAGCGGGGACACATTAGCGCGAGGGCCATCTCTCCACCAAGACCTGGGCTCCCCATGGGCCTCCCCTCCTCCTTCCTCCCGGCCTCACGCCCCTCCATTTGGGGGCACCTAGGACGCACCACAGGCCGGCAGGCTCCCCTGCCCACCTCACAGCCGGGCGTCAGGAGAACCGAGGCTCAGAGACCCCGTCACTGGGGTCTCACTCAGGTCCGCCTGGCTCCCAGCCCTCCCATCTCTCACCGCGTGGCAGGGCGACCGCTGCCCCACAGCACCAGGCCCCACGCTTACTCTCTGGGCCGCAGCAGCACCGGCCAGGATGCAGGGTCGGGGGAGAGAGGAAAGGGCACAAGTCAGTTGGGTTGGGCTGGACGGGCAACCCCGGCAGCTCTGGGCCTCTCCCAGCGTCTCCTGGGCCCCCAGAGCTGCAATGTGAGGGCTCGCGGGGCGTCTGCAGAGCCCTCCTCCCTCCTCCCAGCGGCAGGGCTGCCCCAGGCACAGACAGGAAAACAGCTCAGAGGTACGGGACGTGGAGGCCACCCAGGCTGAGCCCGGCCTCACCGCAGCCCGGAGCCGCCCCGGCTCACCTCTTCTTCAGCAGCGAGCTGAAGTCCAGGACCCCGGCGTCCTCGCTGCTGTCACTGTGGAGAAGGACCCGGTGAAGGCCCCGGGGAGTGGCCAGAGGGTTTGGGAGCCGGGAAGGCTGGGGTGGAGTAGAGTGAGAGAGAGGGACACTGGCCGGGTGGGGGCTCGCTGCCCATTGCAGACCCGGGGTCTGTGTACGGGCAAGTAGGGCCGGGGGAGGGGTACCTGGTCCGACGGCCGCCTCCAGACAGGCTCCTGTGGGAATTAGACCCAGTTCCTCACCTGCCCAGGGAGCTTGCTCTCCCCCAAGGCCATCAACTTCAGCTCTGAGCTCCCCATG